CTAGGGCAACTCGCCCCGCCCCCCCCCCCCCCGAAGACAGAGTGGAAATCTTTACCTGGTGGGACCCATATGCCTTCATACGATGGATCGAATCCGCCAACATTTGTTGAATGTTTCTCGAAGAGCTGGATGGCGACTGAAAATGGAATGAGACACATTTTCATGGCATTCGGAGCTGCGGTGCAAGCTCAGAAGATAATGTGTCAATGCCTGTCTCATTTCCACAAGCCCTAACGCTGTCCCCAGCCCCCTGGGTGGGTCTGCCCTACCAGGTTCCTGATCCCATCCCACTAAGTCAGCCGGCCTGTGGCCTCAGCAGCCCCTCTCAGCAGGGCTTAGAAACGAGTGAATGCCCAGGGCCAGGAGCTGCGGGCTTAGTGTCTTGCTCCTGTCTGGATCTGAGGCCCGGGATCACATCTAGACATCAACGTCACTCTTAATTTTGATTCTCTTCTCGATTGATCGTTGTACTCCCTGTTTTAGCTCAGACCAGGGAAAAGCCACAGTCACTGGCGTTTAACCAGGTAATGCCATGCTTCCCACCCAGGATGGGGGGCTGGCCTGCAGCAGCCCTGCCCGCTCTCCTCCCCTCTCTCTGCTCTGTGTGCAGTGTCTAGGTTTCTGCTGCTTGCGGTGGCTCCCCCAGGAGGCAGGTCCCTGCCACACGGTTCCTAGGCCCACTGTCGGATCCCCAGGTGTCATTCCTGCCTTCCACGTGCCAACCCCCGTGGACCATGACTGGGTTGACAAACTGCAGGGGTCTATCTAAAGAGCAGGTCAACTACACAGGCCTCTGTCTCCCCATCCTTAGCCTGAGTGCAGGGCCCAAGCCATGGCCCAGACTTAGAAGCCACATGCCCTGTTAGGCAAGATATAGCCACCCACAACACACAGTCCTTGTGCTCGAGAACTCAATTCTGAATGTCAGCATAGATCAAAAATTGTCAGCACATTTTCAGCAAAAGGTCTGGCCAATATTCATGAAGGGTGTTGGGGTACAGTGGGGTCACTACTGTGCCATGTACTAAACCAGTGTGGTGCAGATGGCTGGCTCTCAATTACACCATTTTCTCAGAGTCGGCATGTAGCTACCCAGAGATACTGCATTTCCTGCTGCCCTGCGGTGAGGCATGCCCATGGGAGTAAGTCATCTCAACGTGCGTAGGTGAAACTGACATCTGCTCTTCTCCCCAGGCCCTTGAAACCTCCTTCCATTGGGTTGGAATAGTGACAGCAGCTGAGCTACTGCTAAAGACAAGAGAGACACTGACAGCCTGGGTCCCTGAATGACTGTGTGGAGCTGAGCGCTCCTGAATCAAACACCTATCCTGGACTGTTTTAAGAGGGAAAAAATTAACTACTATCATCTTTCTACCATTGCATTTTAGGTCTATTTGTTTCAGAAGTTTAGTCTACCCGCGCTGGTAAAACTGACCACAACAGTTGCTGACGACGGATTCCAAGCTCTCTGCTGAGATGTTTTTACTAATCAGGGGTATTACAGTTAATTCCAGTTCCACTAATGAATTCTAGTCCTTGAGACTTCTATGTGTAGGCACTGTGTTACTTAGTATGCATGCACATGTCTGTGTGTGTATGTGTGTGTTCTGTGTGCATGCAATGTATATGGTGTGTGTGTTATGGGGGTGGAGAGGCAAGTGGTCTCATCTCTAACTCCATTTGGTTAAATTGCAATAAATATGATGGAGAAGACCTACACAAGGCTTTTTGATCTGCTAGCTACAAGGTCTTTCTTTGTTGTTTTTTGATAGTGTTTCGAATCCCAGATATGCATGCATTCTAATTTTTTTCTAATCTCCTGTTTTGCAATGTGGCCCACATTGAAGGTCATTTCTGTAAAAATAATGAATAATTCTCTCGAGATAAAACCTAAAAGTGAGCAGATATAGTTTTATTCAAGGTCCTCTTCAAGGGCAAGGACAGTCAGTCTACTGATTAATGAGTTCCTGGGTGACAAATGAGACACACATTTGTGTGTAGAAACACAGAGGGCCTACCTTTGGACTGGCACACTCTGCCAGCCTCCCAGACACACTCTGACCCATTCTGCTCTCTCTCACGTTCTCTTGCAGGAGAAGAGGAGGGACCCTGGCTGTATTCAGGCTGCTGTCCATGTTGAGGGTCCCTAAGGGCCTCGACTCAGCCATGGGGCATTAGTGCTGACCCAAACTCCCAGCAAGGATGAGTCTGTTCTCACAATGCATCCCCTGTCATTTCCCGGCATCCTAAGAACTTGCCTTCATACTTGTCCTTGCCAGGAAATGACATCTGCTTCCAGCCTGTATGTCTCAGATGGGCGGGGTGATGGCTCAGTCCTGCTGTTCACCATCCCCTCCAGTTTAGTGACAGGCACTAAACCTTAGACTCTTCTCCTCATTTTCTCTATTTTACAGACATTTATTATACATAAATTTATTATTAATTAGATATAAAACATTTTTATAGGGGAAGAAGTGACTAACCAAATACCTGACTTGTGTTAGGTGCTGAAATAAGTGCCTGGTATTTATTATCATATTTGCTTTTCACAAAAATCCTACCAGGCCGTATGAGTTTTCTATTGCTGCTGTAACAACTTAGGACAGACTCAGTGGGTTAGCACAATGCAAGATCACTATCTTACATCTCTGCAGGTCAGAGACCCAACACGGCCACACCAAGGTGTCAGAATGGCTGTGCTCCCTCTGAGGTCACAGCTAGGGGTCCTTCCTGCCACTTCCTGCTCCTGGTGACCCCTGGCTGGTGGTGGATCCCTTCACTCTTTGCCTGTCTTCACTTGGTCTCCATCCCTGGTGTCTGTCTCTCAGATCTGCCTCTGCTTTTTTCTTACAAGGTCGTTTGTCCAGTTTCAGGCCTGTCCTAAATCCAGGATGGTGCATTTTAACTTAATTACATCTGAAAAAAAAAAAACTATTTCTAAGTGAGCCTGCACTCTGAGGGTCTGCATGTGTGGAAATTGGGAGGACACTATTCAACCCACTGTAGTAGCACCTGCAGAGCTGACACAGAAATGTAAGTCTACCATTAAGTCAGGTGTACAGGTGACCCAAGCTGCCCTGCTACATAAATGCTCTCGTTAGTGCCCCTCACACCACCTCCCCATGCTTCTTATCGCAAATGTCATAGGAAACCCCCAAGAGCATCTTCTCAGACGTCGGGAAAGATGCTAAGCAGAACGTAGCCTTTGACCCATGCTTTCTGGATCCCTTGTACCTCAAGGCTCCCATCTCCCCTGTCCCCACCCTGTTCCACATGGTTTAGCAGATAGCACTCCCTCGGATATTTATGCTATGGTTAAAGAATGGTAACCATGGCAACTTTTTTAATTTGGTTTTTTTTTTGACCTTTTGTCCTACTTTTGAAAATGTTTTCTAGCACAATGCTGTAATTCAAGTGCAAAAATAAGCCTGCACACCTAATGTTTCTGAAGGAGGCTCTGTGCGGCTGCTCTGGCTCAGTCTGGAGGAATGAGAAAGCCAGCCATGTGGAAAGAGT